TAAATGAACTAATCACAAATATAAAGAAGCTCACGGATAATACCATAATACTATGGGACTGCAATACCCCACTTATAGCAATGGAAAGATCATCTAAACAGAAATTCAACAAATGAACAATGGCTTTGAGTGAGACACTGGACCAGATGGACTTAACAGATATATTCAGAACATTTCCTCCTAAAGCAGCAGAATATATATTCTTCTCCAGGATACATGGAACATTCTGCAGAATAGATCACATACTGGGACACGGATCAGCCTTCTCCAAGTACAAAAAGATAACGATCATACCGTGCATATTTTCAGACCACAAGGCTATGAACCTTGAAATCAACCACAAGAAAATATTTGGAAAGAGAAATACTTGGAGACTGAAGAACATCCTACTAAAGAATGAATGGTTGAAAGCAAGCTGATGCAGCCACTCTGGAAAACAATGTGGAGGTTCCTCAAAAACTACAAAGAGAACTACGCTATGACCCAGCAATTGCACTGCTAAGCATTTATCCAGGGATACTGGTGTGCTGCTTCAAAGGGACACAAGCACCGCCATGTTTATAGCAGCACTATCAACAATAGCCAAAGGATGGAAAGGACCCAAATGTCCATCGATGGATGAATGGATAAAGAAGATACAATTATATGTATATAATCTTCTTTATATATCTATATATCTATATCTATATCTATATGAGAGAGAGATAATTACTCGGCAATCAAAAAGAATGAAATCTTGCATTTTGCAAGTACATGGATAGACCTGGAGGGTATTATGCTAGGTGAAATTAGTCAGTCAGTGCAAGACCAAAATCTTGCAGGCGAGCTAAGCCTGCCCTTCCACCCTGTGCACCTTGTGGAAATGCTTCAGCAAATATGCCAGATCCTGCAGTAGCATCACCACAAGCCTGGCAGGGTGCAATCAGCACAGACTGAGGCCACACCACTCCACAGTGAGTCCTGCCCCTGGGAGAGGGAAAGATAAGCTACACAATAGTCTGACTGTGGCCCCAGGGGTGGGCTGGGGGCAGATATCAGGTCTGACTGTGGCTCCGCTCACCAATACAAGTTACTCCAGACAGCACAGGGGAAGAGCCCTGCAGTTCTGCGCCACTCCAGAGACTATCCAAAATTATGAAACGGAAGAATCCTCCTCAAAAGAAACTCCAGGAAGTAGTGACAGCTAAGGAATTGATCAAAAACGATTTAAGCAATAAAACAAAACATAAATTTAAAATAATAGTCATAAAATTAATCACTGGGCTTAAAAAAGCATAGAGGACAGCAGAGAAACTATTGTTACAGAGATCAAGGGACTAAGAAACAGGAGGAGCCAAAAATTGCTATAAATGAGGTGTAAAATAAAATGGAGGTGACCACAGCTCAGATTGAAGAGGCATAGGAGAGAATAGGTGAATCAGAAGATAAAATTATGAAAAAAGGAAGCTTAGAAAAAGATAAAAATCCAGGAGTATGAGAGGAGAATTAGCGAACTAAGGGACACAATTAAATGTAATAGCATACGCATAATTGGGATTCCAGAGGTGGAAGAGAGAAGGAAAGGTGCTGAAGTTATACTTGAAGAAACCATAGCTGAGAACTTCCCTGATCTGGGGAAGGAAAAAGGCATTGAAATCCAAGAGGCACAGAAAACTCCCTTCAGATGTAACTTGAATCGATCTGCATCACATATAGTCAAACTGGAAAATACAAGGATAAAGAGAAAATTCTGAAAGCAGCTAGGGATAAACATGCTCTAATATATGAAGGGAGACCGATAAGACTAGTGACAGATTTATCTACTGAAACTTGGCAGGCCAGAAAGGAATGGCAGAATATCTTCACTGTGATGAAGAGAAAAACTATGCAGCTGAGAATTTTAATCCAGCAAGTGTCATTTAGAATAGAATGAGAGATAAAGGTATCCCCCCCCCAAAAAAAACCCCAAAAAAAGAAGGAATTCATCACAACTAAACCAGCCCTACAAGTGATCCTAAGGGGTATTCTGTGAGTGAAATGTTACAAGGAAAACAAAGTACTAGAGACATCACTACAAGCATGAAACCTACAGAGATCATGACTCTAAACCCATATCTTTCTATAATAACACTGAATGTAAATAGACTAAATGCTCCAACCAAAAGACATAGGGTATCAGAATGGATAAAAAAACAAGACCCATCTATTTGCTGTCTACAAGAGACTCATTTTAGACCTGAGGACACCTTCAAATTGAAAGAGAAGGGAAGGAAAACTATCATGCTACTGGAACTCAAAAGAAAACTGGAGTAGTCATACTGATATCAGACAAACTAGACTATAAATTTAAAGGCTGAAGATTAATTTAATAAATTTAATTTAAGTTAATAAATTAAAGACTATTAATTTAATAAATTAATAAATTAAAGACTATAAATTAAAGGATGAAGAATGGCATTATATAATAATTACAGGGTCTATCGATCAGGAAAGCTAACAATTAAAAATGTCTATGTGCAAAATACGGGAGCCCCCCAAAAGATAAAACAATTCATCACAATCATAAGCAACCTTCTTGATAAGAATGTGTTAATTTCAGGGGACTTTAATACCCCAGTGACAACAATGGATAGATCATCTAGACACAGGATCAATAAAGAAACAAGGGCACTGAATGATACATCAGAACAGATGGACTTGACAGATATATTTAGAACTCTGCAAACCAAAGCAACAGAATATACTTTCTTCTCAAATGCACATGGAACATTCTCCAAGATAGATCACATACTGGACACAAAACAGCCCTTTATAACTATACAAGAATTGAGATCATACCATGCATAATTTCAGACCACAATGCTATAAAGCTTGAAATCAACCACAGGACGAAGTCTAGAAAACCTCCAAAAGCATGGAGGTTAAAGAACACCCTACTAGAGAATGAATGAGTCAACCAGCCAGTTAGAGATGAAATTAAGAAATATATGGAAAAATATACATATATATATATATATATATATATATATATAAATTTTACCTCAGTTCTTTCTTAGCACACATAATTATGACTTTTAATTATTATGTATTAGTTACTTAAACAACTCAGAATTTCACCAAATTAAAAGCAACAATTATATCAGATATATGAAACCCAAAGTGAAACAGATAATATAAATAACCTTCCACAAGGAAGTCTCCCTGTAGTCATATGACGGCCATGGGTTTACGGTAGGAATCACTAAGTTTCCTCTTGGAATAAGGTTTCCACTGAGCACTAAATTATTTTCAAAATGTCCATAATAAGGTGGTTCCAGGCCTGGACTCATAATAAGACTCCTGAGTAAAGTTCGGTGCTGCTGTCTCTCCACAAGAAGTTTTGTATTGCTCTCTGACAGTCTCTCATTAGTCTGAAGATTAAAAACCACAAATACATTTTCTTTTTCCCAAAATATTTCCCAAATGCCTTATATTTTTTAAGTTTCTGTAATAGTAAATAGCATTTGCCATTGAACAGTGTTTTAACACTTAACATGTGACAGAGCACACCTACTATCTAAAATTATACTTTGAAAATTGTTCTAAAGAAATACTTATGTTTCCAGGGGGATTCCTAACTAACAATTCAAATCAGGGAAGGGAGAGAAGTGGCTATCAGTGATGTACATGGCTTAACAAATAATACTTGCTGTCTTCTGGAATGGCTGTACTGACAGGATCCTTCAGGATGCCATTATATATACATATATTTATAAACCTGTTTACAGATGTAAAACTAAACCATCCCTCAAAGACATTTTCAAGCGTTTGCTTTCACCACTCTTGTACTGAGCATTTGACACTGAGGAATCATTGAGACCAACAATCTCTAGGGGAGATAGTAGATGGCAGAGGTGTGATCAGAAAGAACTAAAACAGCCACAGAGGCAATTAGCTTATAACAGTTACCGAGGCACTGGAGGCACTGGAGGCACTGGAGGCACTGGAGGCACTGGAGGCCCTTTCTGTCTTCAGTCTTCCAAATACCTCCCTCCCACCATGGTGCTCTTTTTAGCCACTTTGGGAATTATACTACCCTTCAGCCCTGTGTGAGTCTTTCTGTATTTCACCTGTATGCCTTTATGTAAAGTAGAAAAAGCATAAAGCATAGTTTGTCTCAATCCCACTCTAGTAATCATACCAAAGATCACAATCAAGAGAATAAATGTACCAAGCTGCCAGGATGAGTAGTAGTAGTACTTGACCTTTTAGGTTAAAGATGTAATCTTCCAAAAAGAAACTCATTGACATTTCTATTTAGGGTAATTCTGACAAGCAATTTTATAATAATATGCTTCTAAATGAGAAAGCTTCAAACAATGCACTTAAAGACTAGCAGATCTGATCAATGGAAAATATACGGGGGGGGGGGGGCGGGGGGGGGGGGGGGGAGGAGTCCCTGTAAAACCGAAAAAAAGAGGAGTGATGCAAACTGTCCTGGACTAACATTTCAAAGGTGAGTTCACTTAGAAACATCATTTTCCAAAATGACACGATCTAGTTGGCTTTCACTTCCTACTCATCTCATGATCTTGGCTCCACAGAAATTATGCTTTAGAGGCAAATTAATAAGCTAAATTTCTTGTCTATGATTCTGTTTTGACTTACCTGTTCAGCTTATTTCTCAAGGACTTTCTAACTTTTAATTCTTCTAAGTAGAGTTGCCTGTAGGTTTCCAACTCTGTTTTAGTAGAATCTTCTTGAGAAGTCTTCATTGTAGAGACCTGAGATTCCAGATCTTTAAATTTTTTTTTAACATTTATTTATTTTTGAGACAGAGAGAGACAGAGCATGAACGGGGGAGGGGCAGAGAGAGAGGGAGACACAGAATCGGAAACGGGCTCCAGGCTCTGAGCCATCAGCCCAGAGCCCGACGCGGGGCTCGAACTCACGGACCGCGAGATCCTGACCTGAGCTGAAGTCGGACGCTCAACCGACTGCGCCACCCAGGCACCCCTCCAGATCTTTAATTCTAAGTTCCATTTGACGTCTCGTTGAAGCATGAACATTTTCTCTTAACTGGTCCAAGTTTTCTCAATCTGCTGCTTGTGCCTAATGAAAATTAACAGGATAGTTTCAAAATAGGTATAATCTGAATAATTAATTATACCTGTTTCCTTTAGTTCTGAGTCAATGTTTCAGAGAGCAATTTTAAATGAAAAAAAGCTCAAATATAAAATATTTATCATCAATGTCAACTGAATTAAATATGATTTATGAAATTAAAGTTCAATCATTCTTGTATTAGTATTCACGCAATCTGATAATTCAAATAATAGAATCAATGACAAAATTTTAAAAGTCAACAATAAACTTAAGAATAATCCAAGTACAGTCCAATTTTTAAATCACAATTTTTCTTTTCCTCTTAATAGTGAGACTAGTTGCTTAAATCATCATTTTGTCTTATCCTCTCGATTTAGTAGGAATAAAGATGAACACAAATTTTTAAAGGCAGGAACAAATGCCTCCAGAAATCTACAAATTACCATAAAGCAAGTAGAGGAAACACATACAATACATATATCCAAAATGTAATTTTCAGTGAAATGAATTAAAGCACATTACAGATCAATAAATTAACCTGTAAAAACAGGTTGACTTCGTGTAATTTTTCTATGTAATTTTTCTGGACTATGTCCAGTCATGCTCTTTCTTCAATATCCCGTTTATACTGTTCCACTTGACTGCATTCTACCATATTCATTGCCATAAATTGTTTCCATTTGACTACTTCTTGCTGTAACTTCTTGTTATTGCTCACTTCTTGTTATTGTTCTCTAGTTTTTCATGTTCTTCGAAAGATTTCATTGGTAATAACTCTTGTTGAAGAACTTGATTTTTTGCATCGAGGTGCAAAACTCATTTTTATGATGTAGTTTCCAGTTCTGTTGTAAAGACATCAGCCTGCATGAGTAAAACACTATAGTTTGGAATTGGAGTGAAACCAGTCTCTAACTCAAAACTACTATCAAAAATTTTTTTCAGATTTTAAGTAATCTCTACGCCCACTGTGAGGCATGAACTCACAATCTCAAGATCAAGAGTAACTGAGCCAGCCAGGGACTCAAAATTTAAATAAACTCATTTGCAACAAAATTTTACCTGTGTTAGAATGTGGAACCTTAAACAACTCAGAAAATCAAGAGACACGTTAAAGCCATCAGGTGTTACTGAAATAGATCTTTGCTATCATTGTCTTTACTACACAATATTTGCACTTCATTCTATACTTTTATTTTTCTATGATTTTTTCATATCTTTCTTTCATAAAATAAGTCCCCTCTTAGGAGAAAATCTCTTAGCCCTTCCCCCATCTTAACACTCCATAATTTTTAAAGAAGTTTTAGCAATATCATATTGACATGTATGCCCAAGTCAAAAAATACGTCCCAAGATAAGACTCTGGAAATAAGACTAATTCATGAATCTATAAGTAATGATTCTAATGCCACGACCTGTTTCTGAACTGCAAATGTTTATGCTAATTTGAACTGCATTCCCAGGAGAAATGATTCTCTGGGATGTGTTAAGAAATCACATCTCCCAGTATAAAACTTTAATTGGATGATCCACATTTGTTTTTGAGGCAAAAAAAATTTTTAATTCAATACTGTTATCTTGTAATCCTTTGTTACTTTCTAGAAAATAAGAGATCATACTAAACAAAAACAACAACAACAAAACTGGCTAGAGTTTCAGTGATGCTGAGTTGGGAAGGACTTCCATCCATTCTACATGATTGGTAAGACAAGGTGAGTGGATGTGGTGGTTTTATAAATTCGTTGATACTTCTGTGAAAATCCCTCCCCTTAAATATATGCTGGCTTCAGTAACTCGTTTCTAGTGAACAGAATATGCAGAACTGCTGTGATTTTTAAGGCCAGCTGAGAAAATGTGATACAGCTTCCATCTGACTTTCTTTCTCTAGGGAACCTCACACTTAGAACACAGCCACCACGTTGTGAGGAATCCCAGGCTACCTAGTGAGTCTTCATGTAGATACTCCAGCTGAGACTAGCCAACGTCCTAGCCAAAGGCCAGCCTCAACAGCCAAAAACGTGCATGAACAAGCCTTTAGATGATTCTAGTCTTCAGCTTCCAGTTATGCCAGCTGATGCCAAATGAAGAAGAAATGAGTTGCCCTACTCTGCTTTGCCTAAAGATTGGTGAACAAGATAAATGTTGTTTTGAACTACTAGGTTTTGAGGTGGCTTATAATGCAGCAGTAAATTGCTACCACAGATACTGATACTAAAAATGGTGTGCTGCTATTCAAAAAAACCTAAAACTAAACTTCCTTTGAACCAGGAGGTAGGTGGAACCTGGAAAGATGTAGAAAAGCGTAAGAATGAGACCCCAAAAGGGCCTCCACAAGACTCTTAGTGGAAACCTGATGGCCTGTGAAGAGACTGACAGCAAGGGTTTCTAAGCAAGTGAAGAAAATGACACTGGAGGAAAGGGAAGTCATGCTACAAAATACCTGAAAGTAAAACGGATAGGAAAGAGAAACTAAAGAAAGACTATGCAACTGAAAGGAACCAGGACTTACTGGGTTCAAGTATCTGTTTCTCATTTACAGCCTCTCTACATGTTGAACTGTCAAATAATGGTAAAATAAAGAAATGGCTTTTGGGTTCAGAGAAAATCCAGGGTGCTACCAGGAAAACAGAAAGATTTAAGGTATGCCTCCAATTTCTTTAAGGATCTTAAGAGTATAAGATTTTTTTTAAAGTGGGTTCCACACCCGACATGGGGCTTAAACTCAGCACCCAGAGATCAAGTGTCACATGCTCTACCAACTGAGCCAGCCAAGAGCCCCAAGAGTAGACAAAGTTTAAAGGCATTGTCCTATAAGAGCTTCACAGGAAACCTGAAGCGAAAAGCTTATCTCAAAAGGTCTTGGGAGGGTCGCTTTGCTAAAACATGGCATGAAATCTAGTAATATTTACAGAAAACTAAAAAAAAGGTAAGAGATTTATAGTAGCAAACATACTATTTGCTACCTTGGACTAAAAGAGACCAAATAGTGCAAAATGAAAAGAGGCGTTTGGGTCTTAGAAGTCCCACAGAGAGGAAACAGGATGAAAAAACAGCTGCAAATACAGGTCATTCCTTATGAAAAGGAAGGAACCAAGAGCTCAAAGAGTAAAGAAAGGGAAGAGACATGGAGAAAGTATTCCCGTGGTTAGGACTAAGTCCTAACTTAAGAACTGACAGCATGCAACAGGCTATATTTCAAAACTCTTATGGACTAGGGTGCTTCCCATCTTCTTTTTCTGAATGGGAGAGTCTTCAGCAGTTGACTAGAATGTTGCATTTGTGAGTGGTAAATAACTGTCTCTTTCGTTCTCAAGTCCTCATATTGAGAACCCTTGCACTCAAGGAGCTATACTTTAGATACCATAACCCAGGCAGCTTATCCCCACTGCACCTGATTAAGATGGTAAGATCTTGGACTCAAGCCCTGAACCTGATGCCATGATAACTGAGACTTGCAGGAGGTATTGCAGGGGGAGGGGAGTGAATGTATTTTTCAGGTGGGAGGAATACAAACAACTGTGGCCAGTGGGTAAATTATACTGCTTTTTAAAGGTGTCCATAGGTTTTAAATATTAATTAAATTTAAAAAAAAGGCCATGGAACCACCTTAGTGACTTGCTCCTAATGAACAGAATATGTGACTATGATCCTGTGTGTATTCCAAGCCTAGGTGACAAAAGGCAATACAGCTTCTGCCTTGCTCTGTATCTCAGGCTGCTTACTTGGAATCTAGCTCCCCATCTAGTGAGGAAGTCTAGGTCACAAAGAGGGTCTAGGTGTGTCAGTTTAAGTGTTTCTGCTGCCTTCTGAACTGAAGTCCCAGGCAACAGCCAGCATCAACCACCAGACATTAGTGAACAAATCTTCAAATGGATCCAGCCCCAAACCTTTCAGTTGCCCCACCTGAAGCTGAGCGGGGCAGAGACTAGCTGTCCTGGCCACACTTTTCCTAACAGATTTGTGAACAAAAGAAATCTAACCTTTGGGGAGTTTGTTAAGAAAAAAACAAAAATGATAAATTGAAAAGTGGATGAAAAAAAAAGAGAGAAGACACATAAACCTGTATAGGAGAAATTGGTCTCCATTAAAGTAGGAAGTAATGAATGTTAAGATTAATTTATTAACAATCAATGGTGCTAATGAGAAGAAGCAGATAACTAGAAGCAAGATCTAAGAAGTTTTTCTTTCAGTTTTTCCCCAGTTAAGATCATATTAGCTGCTCAATTTCCATATATGGCCTTTATTATGTTGAGGTATGGTTCCTCTAAGCCTATTTTGTTGAGGTTTGTATCATGAATGGATGTTATAGTTTGTCAAATTCTTTTTCTGCATCTATTGCAATGATATTATTTTATTCTTTTTTGAAAATTAATATGAGGTATCACATTCATTGATTTCCAAATATTGAACCACCCCTTCAAACCAGGCATAAATCCCATTTGGTTATAGTGAATATTTTTTTTTAATATTTATTTATTTTTGAGAAAGACCACAAGCAGGGGAGGGACAGAGAGAGAGGGAAACACAGAATCTGAAATAAGCTCCAGGGTCCAAGCTGTCAACAGAGCCTGACACTGGGCTCAAACCGACAGACCATGAGATCGTAACCTGAGCTGAAGTTGGATGCTTACCTGACTAAGCCACCAAGCTGCCCCTGCCCCCCGTGAATGATTGTTTAATGTATTGTTGGATTCAGTTTGCTTATTTTGTTGAAGATTTTTGCATGTTCATCAGAGATGCTGGCCTGTAATTCTCTTTGTGGTGTCTTTATCTGGTTTTGGTATCAGGGTAAAGCTGGCATAGAATGACTTTGGAAGTTTCGCTTCCTTTTATGTTTTTCTGGAACAAGTTGAAAAGGACAGGTTAAACTTTCTTTTTTCTTTTCTTTTTGTTTTCCTGTATTACCTCTTCTTTACATGTTAATATTTATGTCTGAAGTCATCTGGTCCTAGACTTGTGTTTGTTGAGAGTTTTCTGATTCCTGATTCAGTTTCCTTGCTGGTTATTGATTTTTTTTTTCAAATTTTCTATTTCTTCTTGTTTTAGTTTGGTAAGTTTTATATTTCTAGGAATTTATTCATTTCTTCTAAGTTGTCCAAATTTATGGCATACGTTTTTTCACAATACTCTCTCATAAATATTTGCATTTGTGTGGTGTTGGTTCTTATTTCTACTCTCACATTTGTGGTTTTATTTATTTCGGTATTTTCTATTTTCTTGATTACTCTGGCTAACACCTTATCAGTTTTATTAATTTTTACAAAGAACCAGCTCTAGGTTTCATTGATCTGTTCTAGTTTTATCTGTTTTTTGTTTCTCTATCATTCTTTTCTGCTTTAATCTCTTTTTTTAAATTTATTTTGAGAGAGACCACAAAAGAGTAGGGGATGGGCAGAGAGAGAGAGAGAGGGAATCCCAGACAGGTTCCATGCTGCCAGCAGAGAGCCTAACACGGGGCTCGATCTCAACTGTGAGATCATGACCTGAGCCAAAATCGAGAGTCAGACAACCAGGTAAGCCACCCAAGGTCCCCCTGCTCTGATCATTATTACTTGCTTTCTTCTGCTGGCTATGGGCTTCATTTATTGTTCTTTTTCTAGCTCCTTTGGTGTAAGGTTAGGTTGTTTGAAATTTTTCTTGCTTCTTGAAGTAGGCTTATATTGCTATGGACTTCCCTCTTAGGACCACTTTTGCAGCATCTCAAAGGTTTCAGAGCATTGTTTTTTCATTTCCATTTGTATACACGTAATTTTTTAAATTTCTTCTTGTATTTCCTGCTGAACCCATTCCAGTGTAGTAGCACGCTATTTAACCTGCATGTATTGTTTTTAATAATTAAGGCCTTTTTTTTTGTTTGTGATCCA